CCCCTTGAGGTGACCTGGGCAGGCACACAGGAATGTGTCTGTAGACAAGGGCCTGGGGAGAGTCATGCAGACATGAAGGCAGGGCAGGTTTCTCCCGGGCACTTCAGGGCAGGTAGCCAGGGACCAAGCTATGACTCCGAGGAATCACTAGCCCTTGTCCCTGATGAGTGCAAAGTACAAGGAACAGGGGGCAGAGGGAGATAAGGCCGGACTCAGAGGCCGGGGCTTGATGTTGGTGCAGCAGCTAATCCATTAAATAGGGGAAATGTCACTGGCCACTACATCTGGGTAAGAGTGAACAGGAGCCTCTTGCGTGCTTCTGTGGACTCACTGACCACAGCAGAAATGATGCCCAAGTGGTCCAAGTCCCCATTTAACAGAGTGTGATATTAAAAGCATTTGTAAGGAATCCTAACTCCTTCAAAATCTAATTCCTAGAATTTCTAAGTTTCCTGGGGTTAATATGAATTTATCCAGTTCTCTATTTCAAAAAGTTACTCAATATCTGCAAAGTTTTAACAAATGTATGCATCCTTCTTTTTTTTTGAAGACCCAGGATAAGGAGTTTGGATTTTATCCTGGAGCAGCAGAAAGTCAGGGATGAGTTTTTCCAGTTTAGGATGATCCTGCGTCCGCAAGGAGAAAGGAAGATAATAAGAGTTAGGCTGGAGGCAGGGAGGCCAGGAAGCCACTGCATGGTCACGGGCAGACAATTTGAGAGGCTCTGAGCGCAGGCCCTGGCCAGGGGGTGGGAGGGGGGTGGACCTGTAGAAATGTGCTAAGGGGGTGGGTCTCACAGGATGGGTGATGGACTGGGTGTGGGGGCTGAGAGAGGACTCCAGGATGGAAGTCCCCAGCTTGGACGCTTGGTTGGGGGGGTGTTCATGCCGTCACTGAACTGGGAGGACAGGTTGGGTGCCTGGAGGGAGACAGTGAACGCAGGCTGAGTTCCAAGGTGTCTCCCAGCCCTATCCAGCACAGTACCTGGCAGGCAGGTAGCCTCGATATATAGCTGTGGGGCTAATAATGAAAGAATGGATGGATGAGGGTCCAGACTTCCTGGCCTCACAGTTCAACGAAACATTCTCTGAGTCACGACTTCCTTCCCTCCCCCCAAGTCCCAGCTCCTGATGCCCAGCTGTGAGCACTTTACCAAAGAATTATATCGGACCTTGAACTTTATTTATGCAGAAGCATCAATTATGCCTCCCAAATCCCCAGGGGTGACCTGGCCTCTCTATCCCTCCTAGTGGCCCTCCGAGCAGGAGGACCTCCATGCTAGCAGACATTCCCAATGCCTGGCCCCAAAGAACATTCCCAATGCCTGGCCAGGTCCGGCCCCCACACAGTCTGTGGCGACTCATGCCACTCCCAGGGCACCCCTATGGCACTGAGTGCCAGATGCTAAGGGTACCTGCTGGGATCCTTGTTTCTCTGCCCGAAAATGTCACTGGCACTATCCCCTCCCCAAGCCCTGCCCCCAGGCCTCCCTGAAGGGGGATAAGGGGAGAGCCTGCTGTTTACACTGGCCACTGACATGAGGAGAGGCTTGAGGGAGGCCTGAGCTGGAGGAACACAGCCTTCTGGACTGGGAGGTAGAATGTGGCTGCATTCTTGATGAAGCTGAGACTGGGACTAGGAGATACAAGGAAGGAACACGTTGTCCAGTCCTGAAAAAGCTGAATAACTAAGTGAGGAGACCCAGGGAGGTCAGAAGGGCAGGTTCTCAGGGGGCCATGGCTGCCCGGTGAACTCTTGCAGACAGGGAAGTCCCCTGATCAGGACAGCGTTGGCTGGGGTGGGGGTGGGAGAGCAGGCCAAGATCTCCTGGGATGTTATCAGGGAAAACAAGGGTTGGGGTGCAGGAGGCAGGCTGTGCCCCCCCCCGACCACACAACTCTGTGACAGACCCTGACATCCCCTGCCCCCCAACCTGGCCCTCTCCCCATGAAAAGCACCCCCATGCTAGCCATTCCCTACTCCCCATTCCCTTCTGCCTTGCTTCCACGGTTTCCACGAATGCTTCACCCCCTCGTTAGCCTGTGAGCCTCCAGTGGCAGGCAGCCTGGCCCACCCTGGGTGCTGGGAAAGTTTTTAAATCAAAGGAAGCACAGAGACCGGACACACCTCACTTTTCCATCCTTCCAGAAGTCATTCAGGATTGACCAGAGGCCTGGGGATGGGGTAGGGTAAGGAAAGAGAGGGGGAGAGCAAGAATGGGGCTAAGAGGGCTCCCTCTGGGATGGGAGGGGACCATGGAAGGACAGAATGTGGTGGGCCCTGCCAGAAAGAAATCCCAGTCCTTGCTACAATGGCCAAGGTGGCCCAGTCCCTGTCCCCATCTACTCTTACAAGGCCCACGTCCTGCTCACGGGCAGCACTGGGCTCACACACACAGGCACACCTACCAGTCCAAAGCTCTCCCGAGTCTGGGCCACCTTCTGGCCCCTGGTCCCTAGCCACAGTGCCCAGACTTCCTTGAACCCGGGCCTCCCTCTCCTTCTGGTCCCAGTCCCCGTGTCTGTTGCTGATCTGGAGCCCCAGGGGGGGTACCCTAATGGCAGAGGGCAGAGGGCACCCTACCCTAAGGACAGGGGCAAGCAGTGGAGGAAGTTGGGAAGCCTGGGTCTCTGGTTAAGCCTGGGACTCCTGCCAGCGCAGACTCTGCCACAGATCCAGTCTTCTGGGTTGGGCAGGTAGAGGCCTGGGGGCCTCCCCACCCAGCAGAGTCCAAAGAGCACAGGTGTGGCTGCCTCATGCTCTCGCCACCATAAGTCCTGCCTGCTCACAGGCTCACCCGCTCACAGGGACTCTGCCTGTGGCCACTAGCAGAGAAGCCACCGCCAGCAGCAGGACACCGGCTCAAACACCAGTCCCCTGGGGGGACCGGCCACCAGGCCTCACTGGCGTCCAGGTAAGGACCTGGTTCTCGGGAAGAGCAAGGTCCAGCTCAGCTGCAGGTATCCCAGGGTGGTGGGGGCAACCCAGTGGCTTCTGAGCCAGAGACTCCAGCCCATTCCCAGGGGCAGCTGGGAGGGGCAGTTCCTCCAGGGGCTTGGGACTCGGCAGCGGCTTGGCTGACAGGGAGCTGGGCAAGGCACCAGGCCTCCAAAGCATCTCTGGGCTGCTCCTCCCAATGTCCATGATATAGGTACGCCTTCCCTTGCTCTGAGCCCCTAAATCTGAAGGATAAATGGGGGGCCTTGGGGGTGGGGGCAAGCTAAGTCAGTGCCAGTCCTCTCCTCCTCTCCTGTTGTTGGGGTGCTGAGCAGATGCTTCCCCACCTCAACCTGCCCATAGGGACCATGCTAGCACAAGAAGGGGGCGCAGGGAGCAGGGCTGACCACATCAGGGCTTACTTTCTCCTTCTCCTCCTGATGGAAAAGCAGGAAGGAGGGGGGAGGCTGGAAGAGCAGTGGCTGGAGAAGGTAGTACAGGCTTCCAGCACCTCTAACCTTTCCCTTTGGAAAAAGAGCAGGGCCAACCCCAACAAGGAAAACAGATCCAGCGCCAGCTCCATAATGCCTTAATTGTTCACCAGCGATTGGTGCCCCCATCACTGAGTCACCTTATCAGAGCCTGTTATTTTCATAACAGTCCTAATAAACAAGGGTGTGTGTGTGCTCTCGCTTACACTTTGCCCAGGATATTTCAGGGTTCTGGATAAGTCAGGTGTACCACATAGGTGTACGGACACCCACACTGCTGACATGATGCAGATAAACCTCATTCAAATAACTCATAACCTTAGGCCACATAATCAACGGACTCCCTCCCTGGCCCTGCCGTTTGCACACATGCATTCTAGACTCCCTCTGTGCCACTAAGGCCCTGGGGGCACGTGGGGGGTGGTTGGAGGGGTGGCAGGACAAGCCAGTCCCCAGGACCTCCCAGCCTGGTGGCAGAGGCACGAATATAAACGATTTGGGTGTGGATCTGCAGCCAGGTAGGTGGGGGTTTCACTCTCTGAAATACTCAGTGACCTCAGGCCTGCTACGCACTTTGAGCCTCAGCTCTGGTAGCAACAGTAGCCACCAGGAGAGGCTGTTTCGAGGGTTAAATGAGTTGATGAAGGGAAAGTCTGTCTGTCCAACAGTGTGCAGCACAGGGAGTCCCGAACTACAAGCGGGGGAAGGGGAGGTGACTGGGGGAGGCAGGGGTGGTAATTAATCTTATGGGGGTGCCCCCATAAGAGGCTTGGCACAGCACTAACCAGCTGCTGTTGGACAGGAATGGAGGAGGTTTGGCCTGGCACTGGGAGGGCGGCTACCTGGGCACAGTGGAGTGGGTCGTCAGGGAGGGCTTCCTGAGGTGGTGACCCTTGAGCTGGAATTTAGAGTGGGGAGGGGCTCCGGACAGAGGGCTCAAAGCATGGAAAACCAAAGAGACAGGTGATTCGGTGAGCCGTTCGAGCAAATGCGGGTCACTGACAGGGCCTCAGAGACCATCATAAACACACACCACATACGCTCCTGAGAAGGTCCCAACTTCAGAGCCAATGGCTGACTCCCTGCAATTTGCAGAAATGAAGCACTTGCACAGGGGCTTGCTTTGGCAGGGAGCCCAACGACTTCCCGGCCGAAGCGGGTGCAGCTATCCATCTGGCATCTGTCACGCTCAGGTCCAGACTGAACCCCGTCCCAGGTGCCCGTCCACACAGCTTCCCTGGGGCTCCTGGAATGGGCCTTACTGGCCTTACTGACAAAATTAGGGGAAGCCAGGAGCCTGCCTTGGGTGTCCCAGGTCCAATCAAATGGAGGGCTCCTCAGTGACGGCACGGTGCGGGGCAGCATCAAAGACCCCTGAAGTCAGGGGCTTTGGGTCTGATTCCCAAGGCCCCAGGTCAGAGTCTGGTCCAAGCCTCAGGCCCAGGTCAGGGATGAGCCGCAATAGCCTGCCCTACCCTGCCCTGGTGTTTCTCTCCCCAGCCCTGAGGGCTCTCTCCGGTTCAGTTTGGCTTCTAGGGAGTCATCTGTGCTCAGCAGCGGATAGTCCTCAACATGTCCCGGCCCAGCAGCAAAACCATTTACCGTAAGCACCACCACCCATCCCCTGCCCTCCCCTGAACACCCTGGACTCTGGATCTCTCCCTCCCCACACTGACCACCCCCTGCAATTGTCTCTATCTCCCCCATTCGTTGGCCCCCACCATCCTGTTTTGTACCCTACAGTGAACCGGAAGGAATACTCACAGAACCTGGTCACAGACCCCAGCCACCTGCAGCACAGGGTGGAGGTGAGTACCAGGGTCCGTTCCCCACGTACCTGATGCCCTGCCACATCCAGACATCTCAGACGAGTCCTGCCATGGATGCCAAGGGCCTAACCCAGCTCCATCTGGTGACTCGGGTCTAGCTGAGCCTCTAAGTGTGAGGAAGGAGGAGCACTCTGTGGGGCCCCACAGGGAAGGCCAGGTGGGAGGTTAGCTGGTGGGTGTCCTGTCCCCAGGCAGGAAGGGGGTACAGGGATGGCTCAGGAGCACCCACAAACACCACCCCACCCCCACCTGTCTCCCGATCCACTCCCTGCCACGCAGGTCCCCAGGCAGCTGCTCTTTGCGCAGACTCTGCCATGGCCCCGGGCAGGAATGCCTGAGGTCAGTGGCCCCTGCAATAGCTTGAGAGGGCCACGCAGGGAGACAGGAGGGGTCTGGCCCCAAGCTCATGGGAAGGGCAGGCAAGCGCTACCTGCAGTAGGAACAGAGTCTGGCCCAGCCTGGAAGGATGACTGAGCCACTTGGAAGTCTGGTTGCCTGGAGGGCTGGGGTCACGGGGATGAAAGCACAGACGAGCAGGGCCTGGCGGGAAGGCACACAGCTGGGCAGGCCGAAGCATTCACGGCAGAAGCAGTCCCAGGGCAGCAGCAGTTTTAGGGCTGTCAGCAGAGAAGCAGGAGGGATATGGGGTGATGACCTAGCAGCTCCATAGAGCAATAGAGGCAGGGTTCCCCCAGCCAGCTGGGGTGGGGGGAGGGCTTCAAGGCAGAAGTGGGGGTTGGGAAGTAGCTTCATTTAAGTCCCAGAGATGAGAACAGCGGGAGGTATGTCCAGGATGGGGGGAGGGGGTCCCCTGATACGCTGGCAGTGTGGTCACTGTGCCAAGGGCAGAGTGATCAAGGGGCAGACAGCAGCCCCCCAACAAGAGCTTAGAACAGAGGGGCGAGCAAGATTTTGACCTATGAGGGCAGCCTCAGACTGGGGAAAGTGGGGTCTCTTTGAGGAAGAAGAATAACAGCAAAAACCTGCAGGAATGGTCACACTAGCAGCTGGGAAGGACCTGAGAGCACCTCAGACCTTGCTGGGCAAGAATCAGGGAGAAGGTGGGGCTTGATCCTCCCGAGAGACCAGGAGGTAAAGGACTACGGGAGGTGGAAAGGCATTCTGGATGTGGGGAACAGCATGAGCAAAGGAATGTGAGGTCAGTGAGGAGAAAGACCAGGCTAGGCCAGTATGTCCCCAAAGGGAGCAAAGGAAACCAGGGACAGAATTGGAGGGTCCTGTCTCCCGCCCAGAGTTCAGATTTAGTTGTTGGGTATTTGGAGCCCACACCCATGGACCAATATCCAGTCCCCCCCACCTGGGCTATTGAAGGCCTGACAGTCTTTCCTCCAGAGTCCTGAACCCCCTTGTACAACTTGGGGCCCCATCCAGGGCCTGCTTCCGGCCCTCACCTCAAAGGCTGCTTTATCAGGATGGCCTGGGACCTCCCCACACAAGAAGTCCAGGGACATGTCTTCCTCCTCTTCTGCCTTTCCCCCACCCCCTAACCTGCCCACCACTACCTGTGACCCGCCCCCCTTAACCTTTTCCCTGCCCCGGCCTCCTCCCCTCAGCACCTGATGACATGTAAGCTGGGGATTCGGAAAATCCAGGAGCCCAAGGATGCCCTGCAGAAGCTTCGGGAAATGGACATTGAGGGCCGAGTGTGGAGCCAGGACTTGCTCCTGCAGGTTAGAGATGGCTGGCTCCAGTTGCTGGACATCGAGACGAAGGTCAGTGCCGCCCCCACCCCATATCCCATAATGGGTCACAGACTACCTAGGCTATAGAACAGCAAGGACCAGACTCCTGAACTCCAGGCCTCCAGGCCCTGAACAAAGCCATCCCCTCACATGCAATCCATGTCCCGGCCTATGAAGAAAGGGGAGACAGAAGCCCAGGGGCCGGGGGGATGCCATCAGTGTCCACCCTCTCAGAGGACTGGAGTGACTCAGGCCAGGTGCTCCCAGAGGACACCATGGCCCTCAGTGACCTCACAGCTGACTTCTCACCCCATTCAGGAGGAGCTGGAATCTTACCGCCTGGATGGCATCCAGTCCATAGACGTGGCCAGCACCTGCTCCTACGACTCGGTTCTGTCCATCACGGCGCAGGATTCAGGGATGCCCGGCATCAGCACCATGCTCTTCCAGTGCCAGGAAGTGGGGGTGAGTGGCCAGAGGTGGTGGGACCAGGGACAGAGTGGGTATGGGGCCCAAAAGCAACACACACACACTCTCTCTCTCTCTCTCTCTCTCTCTCTCCCCCAACGCCCAGTCTGATTTGCCTGATTTCTGCTTCCTCAGGCCGAGCGACTGCAAACCAGCCTGCAGAAGGCCATGGAGGAGGAACGGGAGCAAAGGTAAACAGCTGCTGCCCCAATCACCTCTCGGCCTTGGAGCTTGGACCTGGGTGGGTCAGACTCTGATCCCACATCTTGGAGAGCCTGATCCAACTGGGCCTGGAGCTTGGGAAGTTCAAGCTGGGACCAGGACACAGATGGGCATGGAGAAGGGGCAGTGAGTGGGTGGACTCCTGGAGAGAGATGATGCTCTCTCTGGTCCTGTGGGCAAGTCATTGTCCTAAGGAGCCTGTCAAAGATGTGTCCCCACCATATATCCCACCAGGCCCCGATTTGGAGCCCTCCACCCACAACAGGACAGATGGAGGGGGCCTTCTCTAGAAAGGCCAATTCCTCTGGAGCCAGGACCCCCCGTGGAACGGGGGCCTCCCCTGGAGCGGGTGCTCCCTCCAGAACAGCCCTACAGGATGCCCTCACAGCGGGGGCCTCTCCTGGAGCAGGTGCTCCCTCCAGAACAGCCCTACAGGATGCCCTCACAGCGGGGGCCTCCCCTGGAGCGGGTGCTCCCTCCAGAACAGCCCTACAGGATGCCCTCACAGCGGGGGCCTCCCCTGGAGCAGGTGCTCCCTCCAGAACAGCTCTACAGGATGCCCTCACAGCGCAGTAAGTTTGGAGTGTGGGGGCAGGTGGGAGAAGAAAGTTTAGATCAAAGAGTATCTGGACCATGTTCCCTTTTACATTGCAGACACCTCATCATCCCCAGGACCCCGGTCACGCCACCCCAGTGCCCAAGAACCAAGCATGTTCCCTCCATCTCCTCCAATGAGGTCCCAATCCCCTGAGGACCCAGAGAGGGATGAGGTAACTGCAGCTGTCCTGGGCTGGCTGAGGCTTTCTGGGCCTGGCAGAAGGGAACACACTCACCCCTCACCCCTTGGAGGCCAGGTCCTGGATGACCCAGGCAGGCCCTGGGCTGAGGAGGGAAAAGGGGGTTGGTGAGGCCTGGATTGGGCCTGAGCTTTGGGCTGTGTGGTGCAGGGGCAGACCCTGGGTGGGAGTTCCAAGGCGGGCCTAACTGCTCACTCAAGGCCCCCGTTGTTTGGAGCCCAGGAGGTGATGAACCACATCCTAGATGACATCGAACTGTTCACGAAGAAGCTGAAGGCCCAGGCAAATACCAATCAGAAGAAAAAGAAGAAGAAATTGGGGAAGAAAAAGAAGAAGGAACAGGGGGGTGTGTACTGAGGGCCAAGGAAGAAGCATGGAAGAAGGGGTGTCTCAGGATGGCCTGTGACCCGCCTCCTCTCCCCTTCTCCCCCAGGGATAGCTGAGGCAGAGTATGTTGAGTGCTTTCAGAAGATCAAATACAGCTTCAACCTTCTGGTACGGCTCCCCACAAGTTCCCCACCGCTTCCAACCACCCCCACCGCAGCAACCCCCTCTTCTCGGGTCTCAGACATGCTTCTCCAACTTAACCCCCTGGAGCCTCCCCTCTCCTATCCTGGAACTTTTGGAAAGTGCCAGACCCCCAACCAAGAAAGTCCAGAACAATTATGAGCCTCTGTGGTCCCAGTGAAGGTGGGAGTGGGGTGGGATGAAGGGTGCTGATGGTGTCGCCCTATGTCCCCAGGGAAAGCTGGCCAACAGTCTGCAGGAAATAACTGCCCCCGAGTATGTGCACATGATCTTCCAGATTCTGGAAATGGTAAGTTGGGGCGAGGGCAGGGTGGTAAAGAGAGACAGGCTGAAATTAAGATGGAGCTGAGACCAGGGTGGTGGGTAGAAGGTGGATGGCAGAGGGAAGTTGTGGGGTCTTCCCCTTGCTCACCCATCACACCTTTGACCCCAAGACACCAACCCCACTATGCATAGCACCCCTTAGCCAGTTAGATGGACTGAGGGTAGGGGGGTAGAGCCAAGGACACCAGGGAGATAGGGAGATAGGAAGGAACAACAGGCCTGAAGCAGGTGGGGCCACTGGCAAAAGGGGAAGCCAGGAGCGCCAAGACTTTTCCTGCTCCCATTTGGCCCAGGAGCCTAGGCTTCATGACAGCTTTCCTCCCACCCTAGATCCTGAACCAGTGCCCTGTACCTGACCTAGCAGCCCGTGTCACCTCACCCCTCCTCACCTCCAAAGCCATCGACATGCTGCAGTCCAGTCTTAGCCCGCATGAGGAAGATCTCTGGATGGGGCTGGGCGAGGCCTGGACCACCAGTCGGTGAGTGAAGACAAGGCCTGAGCTGGGCAACGCACATGGGGGCACAGGGCAGTGGCCACTGGAAGTGGCCAAATTCGACATTGTCAGAAACCAGAAGTACCTCAAAGCAAATTGAAGAACTGTACATAGGGGTTCCTCAACTTTTTATTAGACTGAGTTGTTGTTGTTTTAAATGACCACATTTACCATTACCCACCACGCAAGGAAAGGCATTACCTCAGAAAGAAAGAACAATTCTTCCTAAGGAGAGTTGGCAACCTTCCACTAAAATATTTTCTCATTTTTATCAAGGACAAAGTGAAAACTTTGTCTCAGTTCAGCCTAAAATTTAAGAATTGCTGACGTAAAAGATACTGCAAATGTAACATCGGTAGGACTTGGCAAGCACTGGCAGAGGAGTGGAGAGAGAAAGATATTCCGGGCCTATGTGATCGTGAGATGGGCAGCTGGACAAGGTCAAGTTGATAAGAGCTACAAGGAGCTGGGCTGCAAAGCAGCTTGGGCCGGCAGAGCTGGGGCCAGGTGGAACACTGCCCCGAGCAGGTGGAGACCCTCAGGTGCCCACCTGGCTACACATGGAGAACCAGCCGTAGGGAAGTGAGAGATGAAGCCCCCAGAGGTGAGTGCTCCAGTTGGTAGTTCTGGAGCTCCAGGTACCAAGCACTACCCCCCAGGAGAGGGGGCAGCATCTGGGGAACGTCTTCTGCAGGTAGATGGTGGAAGGATAAAGGGCCAAGGAGGCAAAGAAATCCCAGAAAGTTAAGAAGAGAAACAATAAACCAGGGGCAGGAAACTCAAGAGCAAAGAGGGTTTCAGAAAGACAGAGAGGTCAACTGGAAAACGAGACAGTGGTTCTAATGGGAATTTTGTTGAGAAACCAGTTCTTTTCCCTTCGGCCCCATGAAAGGATTTTCAGTTTTGTCCACCCCACTAAAGACACGAATTAAAATTCAATGCATTCTATTTATTTTATTGTGGTAGACTCCACATAAGAAAACACTTACCATGTTAACCATTCTTAAGTGTATGAGCCAATGGTCTCAAGAATAGTCTCAGGACTGTACAAACATCACCACTATCCATTTTCAGAACTTTGTCATCATCCCAGTCACTCTATATCCATCAGTCAAATCAATTAAATAAAACTCAGTACCCACGACTCCCTCTCCCCAATTCCACATAACTTCGACTTTCTCTTTCTATTGTATTAAATGTAAATTTAAGTTAGATGCGCCCTAAGATATTTTCTAATCTCTTAAAATAACTAGAAGTGAAAGACAAACGCAAAAGATGTAAAAACCCTGAAAAGAGTTAAATTTCAGGCAAATCATTTTAAAGTGACTTGACCCAAAGTTATAAATAGCACTAAGTGCTGGGGTGATCAAGAAGGAAACAGACCGTAAGAGCGATCGGGACATCATGGGACTGATTTCAATAAGTAATGGCCGTGGTAGAATTCAGGCTGCGAGAAATAATAAAAGAACCAGAGGTATGAAAATGTAGGCTAGGCGATATAGAGCCGTATTCTCACACATGGGGTAAAGAGGTAATAGAATGGTGGCTTAAAAGGAATACTCATGGCATCAAAGGCTTGAGCATGTTTTTAGGGCAAAGGAATCTAAAAAGACTGAGAACAGGGAATAATGTTTGTGTTCCCCATGAATAAATATGCATCAGTACTTCCTAGGAACCAACCACTCGACTCGGGACACGCTCTCAGGTTCAAGTCATTAATAGTAAGACAGTCGTGGGAGCGTCCCGGGCAGACACCGTGTGAGAGGAGCCATAACCCAGGGGCCCCACGTCCAGCTGTAGTGCAGAAGTAGAAACATTCACCTACGTCTGGTGAGGCAGGAAGCTGAGTAAGCATCCCCAGGTTGCCTAGTGGGGTGTATTCCAAGCCGCACAAGCCTGGAGGCCACCGTAGCACCCCTTTCCTGGGTCCAGTGCAGAGGGCAGGGGGAGGCTGAGAGGCAAGTCCACCCCCACCCTGAGTCAACCGGAGCCACTCAGCTGTGACCCCAAGATGGAGCGCCACACTCTAGTTAGCTACAGTGCTGCGGGGAAACTGAAAGCAAATCTAACAAACATGCAGGAGACTCCAACAGGGTCTGTGGTTCTGCCACTTTAATGCAAACCCCAGCCCTACCTGCCCTTCGTGGGCAGTGATGTGCCGCAGCCTGCCTGGTGGCCTCTGTTCATGCTTTACTCTTGGCTGCTTGGGGGGTGTCCCGGGGCCTTTCATCTGTGCACGTGGCTGTGTCCTCCATTACCAAGAAGCTCCCCGAGGCTAGGCCCTGTCGTCTTCTCCCTTTCCAGAGCCTGGCAGAATGGACTCAGCTTTGCTCTCTCCTCAGGGACAACTGGACGGGCAATGAGCCCCCGCCTTACCAGCCCACGTTCTCTGATGGCTGGCAGCCCCCGGAGCCCTCCAGCCAGGTAAGGGGGCTTCGGACACAGTCCTGCTCAAAGCCCTGGTCCTCAGCGAGTTTCTGCTCTCAGTCCAAACCAGAAGTACATGCTAGCTAAGTGGCAGGTGGGGTCAGCAGGGCACCCATATATGCAGGGCGGGGAGGGGAGGGGAGAGAAGGGGATACTTGGTAGCTGTGTGCCAGGGGGTCTGTGGTCTGATAACCCAGCTTCCCACACCCTGCCAGCTGTCTTCCTGCACTTGTTCACTCTCTGTTGTGTGCCTACAGGAGCCCTCGGGATACCAGGACTACACCTACGCCCGGTATGCCCTAGGCTTAATCCGGTCCACGTGGGAGGGAGGGTCAGGACTGATCCTGTGACTCTCTGGCAGCTGCATCTCAGAGACCCTCGGGGCTCTCTTGCAGCCAGACATACACATGTACAAACAGAACAGCACACGCCTCCCCGACCTTGGATGAATGAGCAGTTTTCACCCTCTTAGTCTCCAATCCCTCTCACACCACTACCCACACACGTCTCTGACTTCCCAGCGCCCAGGCAGCAAGCACTCGGAGGAGAGTTCAGACAGAGAACAGTCCGCTTTCAGGAAGACTCTTGGAAATAAGGGACATTTCAGACCCCTCCCGCCTGCAGAAACAGCCCCCCACCCCCAACCCACCCTGCCCAAGCCCCACCTAATACTGATGTGCTATTAACCTCAGGAAACCCAAAAGTTACTACCAGACTCTAGGTGGGAGATATCTGGGGCTCTGAGGCTGGACAGGGCTCCCTCTCTGAGGGCCCTTTCTCCAGTCATCCTGACTCTGTGTTGGGGTGGCGGGGAGGCCTAGGTCTGGGAGCCCCTCACACTTCGCTCAAGAGGAGACCTACAATGGTGGCCCTGGGGACCAACCTGGCAGGCCCTCCAGTCCCAAATCTGCCAACTCAGCCCTGAGAATGCAGGTCGTATGTGAGTTTGAAGCTAGGAATCAACAGGAAGTGACTGTGGCGCAGGGAGAGGTGCTGGAGGTGAGACTGGGCATGAGCCTGGAAGAGTTGGTGGTGGCGTTCTGGGTGGCTGGTCTGGGCATGGGGCTGCCAGAGTGGGTGGCCCAGAGAGGGAAGGCGCGTGGGGAAGGACCAGGTGGGAGAAGCCCTGCTGGGGAGGAGGAGGGCTGGGGACAAAGGCTCAGAGGTGACTGAGGCAGGGACTCTTGGCAGGTTCTGGACCAGAGCAAGCGGTGGTGGCTGGTGAAGAAGGAGACGGGGCGGCAAGGCTACATTCCCAGCAACATCCTGCAGCCCCTACCATCCTCCCCATCGACACCCCCACTGGTACGACCCAGCCTAGACCAGCCAGGAGGCCTGAGTGGGAGGCAGGCCAGGGAGGGCTCAGTGACAAGTGAAGGAGACAGCCCTGGTTTGACTTAACCCAAATTATCACACACCTACCGTGTGCCAAGCAGGACAGAGAATAAGCACAGAACCTGCCACAGAAGCAAATCATGGAGTGAGATGAGTGATTTGATGGGAGCCCAGATGATGGGGGCTGTGGGTGGCTCTGAGAAGTCTCTGATCGCCTGTCCCCTTGATTCTAGCCAATGAACCTGAGATTTAACTCCAAGCCTGCAGAGGTCACGGCCTGGCTGCAGAGAGAGAACTTCTCCCCTGCGTGAGTGCCTCACCCCGGGAAGTGTGTCTGGAGAACCTTTGTAAAGGGCTCAGAGATCAGCCAAGAAAGCCCAGGGAGGACCTCCCTGGTGGCGCAGCGGTTGAGCGCTGGGTTGCGAAGCTGCCCGCAGCCTCGGCGGCGCCGGTTCAATCCCCGGCTGCTCCCCGGCCACCGGAGGAGGGTCCCGCATGGCGCGCAGACCTCTCCTGCCGCCCGCTGCTCCCCTCAGCAGTGTACTTCGGTCCTTCTGCCTGCTCTGCTCCCCGCTCTGGCTCTGGTGAATTCTCTCACCCTCCCGCGCTTCTGACTGTACCCAGTGCATGTATAAACAAAACAAACAAACAAATAAATAAATAAATAAAACATGCCTCTATTAAAAAAAATAAAAAATTAAAAAAAAAGAATTAAAAAAAAAAAAAGAAAGAAAGCCCAGGGACCCTGACCGCACAGCTGAGCCACCCAGTACCTGGCGGACACACAGGCGCCGCCTCCTGCAGCAACGCTTGTTCCCAGTTAAGGGGAGAAGACGGGGCGGGCGGGGGTGGGGTGGTGTCCCCGCCTTGATAGAGTACAAAGAGGGAAGCCCCTGCCATGGGGAGGCTATAGGGCTGGAGAGGGCGGAAACTCGGCTGCCAGTCACCCTTCCCACCACGAGCATCTCTTCCTCTCCTTAAGCCTGCGAGGTGTGAGACGGGTCGAAGGCAAAATACTTATTTCACTCCTTGACCTCTAGATTCCCTAGTCCCTGAATTCTCCTGGAGCCTCAACCTCCTGGCCCCTACAGAGCCTCAGGCCCACTGAGGAGCTGCTCCCCGCTGACTGTCCGCTGTCTTTGTTCCCAGCACGGTGAAGGCCCTTGGGTCCCTGACCGGGGACCAGCTACTTCACATAAAGCCTGGGGACCTCCAGAGAATGTGTCCGCAGGAGGCCCCACGGGTCCTGACTCGGCTCGATGCTGTCCGGAGGACACTGGGGGTGAGGCACCCTGGGGTCCTGACCCCTATGGAAATGCCGGGAGCTCTCTGGGTGGGAGTGAGAGTGCCAGCCTTGGGAAGGAACTGAGGTACTGGGCACAAGATGTCCCTGAGGTTGCGGCTTGGTATGCCCAGGAATGCCTTGAGGCTCCATGGGGACTGCTGCCATGAGCTCTGGGGGCCCTCACCAGCATCATCTGAATCCTTCTCTTTCCTCAGATAGTCCATTAGGCACCAACTTGGACACATCTGAGGCCAAGGCCCTGTCACAGAGGATTTCTCTTCAGGTTCCCAGTCTGAGATGAACCCCACACCCCAGCTCACACAGAAGAGGATGACAAGCCCAGAGGTTGAAAGGAGCCGTGTGTGAGGACTCCCTGGTGGCGCAAGGGTTAAGACGCAACCTATGAAGCTATCTGCAGCCACTGCAGCACGAGTTCAATTCCAATTCCTGGCCAACCAGGGAGCAACCCACACGGCAAGGCAGACCTCTCCTGACTCTTCCGCTGCTCCCCTCAGCAGTGTACTTGGGTCAATCTGCCTGTTCTATTCCCCACTCTGTCTCTGGTGAATCCTCTCAACCCCCCCCCACCACGCCCCATGCCTCTGGTCTGTACCCCAGCTCTTGTATGCATAAATAAATAAATCTTTAAAAAAAAAAAAAAAACGAAAGAAAGAAAAGAGCCGTGTGTGGAAGTTGTCCCCAGCTACCACCTATTTATTGTATCTCTTTCCTAAACATGAACCACTCCTGCCTCAATTCATCAGGACTGTTTATTCTCTGTCGTCCAGAATAATCGCATCCTTAAGCTTGTCTCAACGCGTCCCTTGCAGCTTCTTCTGGAACTGATGGGAGCCAAAGGCAGAGAGGCAGGAGGGGCTGGGACAGCAGCAGCCCTCTCCCCCCATCCCTGGCCCAGAGTGTTAGGATGAGCGTGGGAGTTCCCACTGCAGCCTGGAGCTGAGAATTCTGGCCCATGCTCTCCTTACTCTCTTCCTAAACAAACTCCAACATAAGGCTATGTCCACCATGCTCCCATGTACATTCCACCCGAGGCACAGCACAGCTGAGGACACACTTCACGGGAGCAAAGGGCACCAGGCGGAGAGAGGTTTTGATCAGCCACATTGGCTGATGATCAGAGAAACACTGTCAGACAAGGCAGGTGCTCTAGACCCTACTTAACAACTTGGCCCTCCTGTGAAGTAAGCCAGTCTTGAGCTCCCTCCCCAGCTTCTCTCCTTAGTGGCAGTGTATAAGGAACTTGGGCCCAGAAGTCAAAAGTCTACCAGTTGGCTGTGTAAACCCTGGGCAGTCACTTCACTCTCCGGGTTCTTGTTTTGCCAAAAGTTCAGTGAAGAATTCAGGCCACTATGGCTTCTAATTTTGAGTGCCCAGGGCTGGCACTCTCGTCTTTCATCTCACACTGTGATGGCTCCCCTGCCCACTGAACAGTAGAGGTAGTCTTACTAAGTTCGTCTGCAGGTAAGGCCTGATGTACCTGTGAGTCAGGGGCTGCTTGAGGGTTCTGAGGATGTTCCCTAAGTCTCTCTCAGCTGAATTTATCCATGCCCCTAACAAAATCTTGGTCCCGGATTATACTATTTTCAGACCGTCCGTGACAGCCCTTCAAGTTCCTGGCCTTAGAAAGTCGCCTCTCTTAGCTGCCCACAGAATAGGAGAGCAAAAATGTGCCTCACAGAAGAGAAAATAAGGGAGACTCTTGGGGTCTGTCAGCGGCAAAATTTAACCAGTAAACTTAATTTCTTTGGATGGAGGAGGAGAGATGAGCCCATCACCCTCTGGAGCGTCACAGAGAGAAGAAACAGTTAAAGAAGACCTGGAGGCAGGGAAGTTCTGGGGGGGAGGGCAGGGAGTAGGGGTGGGAATGTGGTTTAGCCCCATATTTCCCAGCAAAGAGTGAGATGGGGCAAGGGAGGGTCCTGATATCCAAGTTCGGTGGAACTAGCACAAGCTGTACTAGTTTTAGATAGACTTTTGTACTAGTTTTAGATAGACCTAAGTTTGAATCCCAGAACACCAGTGAAAACTTGAACTGAGCAGCTCACCCAGCCTCCCCAATTCTCAGTAACCCTCTTCTATAAAAGGGGCATAATACCTACTTCACAGAGTTACAACAGCTTTTTTAAATTGTGAAACTTAAATTGGACTAAATTAGCTAACATATGAAATACCGAGACTATTACCTGGCATGCCATACATGCTCTGTAATGTTGGTCACATACCTCAAGTTCCTCTGAGACTGGCCCTTGGTGTTATTTTGGAAGGAGAAACCCAGACATTATAAATTCATCTGTCCCTGTGCGTTTGTGCTTTTTTCTTTCTTCTTTTTAGTGAAATGTCCTTGTCAAAAGTCCCAACCTTGCTTCAACTGAGCTAATGGAGAAATGTGATGCCCCGCACCTAGGCTAGGTGGGGCTTAGAGGCTGAGTGTCCTAGGTGGTCCAGGGCACCACCAAGGAAAGCCTCAGACTCTTCCCCGCCCACCCACATGGCACACACCAAACACAGCGATGCCCTAGAGCTCAGGACCTGACGCTTGGTGATACAGTTACGTATGACCAGTCTCTCAGACAGGCATTAACAAATTTGTCTTTCCCCTATTTCCTGACAGGTTTGTCTTTGATGGGCATCAACAAGATTACCAGTTTGTCTTTCCCCCATTTATTGCAATTTCCCCCTTATTTGATAGCTTTATCTTCATGACCCAGCCTCCCAGATGAGCATTTCAAGGAAGAGAAAGTTAAACATCAGCTTTTGAAGAAAAACAAGCTGGCGCCCACCCATCCCAGTGCCAACCCCTTCCCCCTCCCCTTTACAGACCCAAGCCCACCTCCACTTTTTTCCCTTTGTATAAACACCCCTGCCCTCTGCCCAAGAGCAGGACGGCTCTTTCAGACTAAGTGCTGCCCTCCTCATATGCCCACAAATTAAGCCACTTTCCTTTTCCTCAAAGTGTCTCCTTCCATTGGCTGGGGGAAACTGAGGCCCGCGTTCGGTAACACTGGTGCTTACCCACCTGCGCCCTCCATACTCGCTCCCCCAAGCCAGCCCACCCCGGCTCCATGAATATTTTTAAAAGTACCTCACGCTCGCCGGATAACAGGCCCCTCACTGTGTGGGCTGCGGGCGCTGACCGCCCTGAGGGGGCATATTAACCAACCAATCACGACCCCCACGCGCGGGGAGCGCTGAACCCCAAGCCTGGGCGGGTCCTGCAGCGCGGGCCTCACCTCGGGTCGCCCGAAGCCCCGCGTCCACCGGAGCGCCGGACGCGTCAAGGTGGGCGCGCGGGGCGGGGGCGCGTTAGGGTGGGCGCACGGAGCGGTGGGCGCGTCAGGGTGGGCGCGCGGGGCGGTGGACGCGTCAGGATGGGCGCGCGGGGCGGTGGGCGCGTCAGGATGGGCGCGCGGAGCGCCGGGCGCGTCAGGGTGGGCGCGCGGAACGGGGGGCGCGTCAGGGTGGGCGCGCGGGGCGGGGGGCGCGTCAGGATGGGCGCGCGGAGCGCCAGGCGCGTCAGGGTGGGCGCGCGGGGCGCCGGGCGCGTCAGGGTGGGCGCGCGGGGCGGTGGACGCGTCAGGATGGGCGCGCGGGGCGGGGGGCGCGTCAGGGTGGGCGCGCGGGGAGGTGGACGCGTCAGGGTGGGCGCGCGGGGCGGTGGACGCGTCAGGGTGGGCGCTCGGGGCGGGGGGCGCGTCAGGGTGGGCGCGCGGGGCGGGGGGCGCGTCAGGGTGGGCGCGTCAGGGTGGGCGCGCGGGGCGCCGGGCGCGTGGGGCGGGGGCGCGCGGGGCGGGGGCGCGCGGGGCGGGGGGCGTGTGGGCGGAGACTTCGTTGGCCCCGCCCATTACGTCCGGTATAAAGTGCCGCCCGTTCGCCGTCGGAGTTCAGTACCGGCCACCTCGTCACCATGTCGGCCAAGTCGACCATGATCCTGGGCTACTGGGATATCCGCGGGGTGAGCGCCTTCTCAGGGGCGGAGCCGCCTGGTGGGGGCAGAGGGGGGCGGAGGGGGGCGGATGGAGAGGCCGGCGGCGGCGGGCGCCTCGGGGTGCGCGGTCTCCGAGATTGGGGGCCCCGCTAGGGAGCCAAGGGGTCCCCGCGACGGGGCCTGCCCCCGCTGGGCGCCCCGGCCTCGGAGGCCCACCCCGCCCCACCCCTGGGGTCCCCCGGCCCGCCGAGGAGGGCCTGAGACCCGCAGGCCGCGGACGCTGGGCGCGGGGTTCCTAACGACCCGTCGGCCGGCGGGAGGGGGACGTTGGCGGGTGGGACGCGGTCGGGGCCGCGCAGGCGCTGACCCGGCTGTCCCTGCAGCTGGCGCACGCCATCCGCATGCTCCTGGAGTTCACCGACACCGCCTACGAGGAGAAACGGTACACGTGCGGGGAAGGTAATGCCGCTCTGGACACCGGTCACCGCCGTCTAAGCCAGGGGGGCCCTTCCACTGGCCCAGTTTTCTGCGCCCTGAAGGTGGCATCAGTGAGGGGTCCCTTGGGAGACTCTGAACACAATCACCTGGGAAGTCTCTGCCTTTGTCTGCTGCAGCCCAACCCAGCCTTAACTTTTAATTGAATAGGCCCCAAAGATGAAATGGTGACGTTTATAGGGCCTGGGAATGAGAGGTATTGGGGTTCAGTTATTCCTTTAGGTCTTTCCACTCACCTCAGGTGCGCTATTAAGGAAGCTGGGTCCCGCTGCATCCTCTCTCTCTTACAGCTCCTGACTATGACAGAAGCCAATGGCTGGATGTGAAATTCAAGCTAGATCTGGACTTCCCCAACGTAGGTGGCTTTAGGGGAAGGGATGCAGAAGGGCAGGCCATCGGGTCTATCCTTGTTTCTTTTTTCTCTGGCCTAGGAGGATCTAAAATAAGGGCTCTTGACTTGAATAAGAATAGGTAGAATCCAGGGATCCTTGAAGTTGGGTGGAGGAAAAAAAAAAACATTTTCACTTCTAACTACTAACTAAAAGTTAATAGTTCCTTCTATTGTAAATATGGCAGTGAACGGCATGGGTTATTAGCCATGTCTGTGACTTTGTCACAAGTAGAATTCAAGTGTTTTCATACTATATTGCTTGTGTTAGAAATACTTATATCCATCAATACTTTGAAATTATGATAGGTGTTACATCTGCTTGTTATTTAATGCATTAGTAGGCATATAGTTACTCAAACTTTGTTTTTTTTTTTTTTATTTTTTCTGCATTGTAT